CATCTTAAAGTTGCTAACTGCTAAGGATCCGTTCTGGGTATTTGCATTTCCTCCGGTTCTCCTTGCAGCAGCAAAACCCTAAGCTAGGAATGACTGCTTGGGTTACAAAGGAACTGAGAGCCCGCACACATCTGGCTTGAGCAAGACGTAAAGAGAATCCACTATAGCAGGTAAGTGAGGCATGGTTATTTTTTGAGACAACCCAGGGGAAAAAAGAGGGGCGAAGGGAAAGAAATTCTTGAATTATGTCCAGGAAAGTGGATCCTACGCCAGCAAGCTGTCTCACCGCTTTAAATCAGACCCTGATTCTAAATATCACTTTTTCAAGAGATGTGTTTGTTTCTCTTCTTTTTTTCTGTTCCATATGTCCTACAATACGTGTTTTTATGTTGGTGACCTCATGCTGTTCTAGACAAGCCGGGTTACTTTTTCCCAATATGAAGCTGAGATCAATTTTTAAACACATACACACACACACACACACCCTTTAGGGCACAGATGCGAGTGGGTTATGCTAGCCTTTAGATTCCATTCTTTTGCCCCACTTTTAATTCCTTTAGCCTGTTATGGTTATTCCTTGGGAGTAAGCATCATATTCATATAGGGAAAAATACGTTATTTCTCAAGAAAAAAGATCACGGGGCTCTGCGGTGGTGTAGATTGTACCGTGGCTGTCATATTTTGCAAAAAATCAAGCCGTAAGACGCAGCAGCAGTGACTGGCTGTGTTCATACGTGCTAAACCCAAACAGATAGGGGGAAAAAAATCTGTCCATGGGATCGCTAGGAATTGGAAATGACTTGATGGCACGTAATCCGTCAATCATAAAACCCAAACCACAGATGAACTAATCCTTTGAAACCAACTTGGCAGTTCATGTCCGGCTTATGGAGTCAATACGCTGGCTTTCAATTCAGAATTCCTACAAAGATTTCCACGTTAAAGGATTCAGAGAAAGAGGCACGGATTCAAAAGAGACTCTTGAATCACGCAGAAAAATGTTTTTGCTCTTCTAGGCTGTTCAAAGGGAGGAAAGGGAATTTTGGTTTAAAGATCTTCCAAAGGAGAACAGAATCACCATGACCTTCTCTTTGATAGAGAGGGATATTTTAACGCGTCCTGGTTTTTCCTCAAACCACCTAGTTGTCGAGTCGTATAAAGACCCAGCAGCTATGTTTTAACGACAGGCTACATCTGATCTGTGGCAATCTTAGTCAGCGGCTTTGAAGTTCAACATCTTGGGCAAAGTCAGTTAATCTATGGCCCAGTATATTGCAGGAATCCAGAAAATGGGACCATTTGGTCACCAGGTTAAACATGTCCTGTGAGTACAGCCATGACCAAGGGAAGGGAATGGTAGGTCCCATCTTGCATCTTACAATCCTGTGTCCCATGGTTCCCAGCCTCCGGGCCTTCCCATCCTTCCATGCAAAGGATTTATCTGGAATTCTCCAGCTTGGGAACCTGGACATCCCATTGCAAAACAGTTGGGGAAAATGGGCCATACAGGAAACTCACGCACCAGCTGTTACTCTGATCACCAGTTCCAGCCATTCAGTTCAAAACACATACAGAGAGAGGGAGAGAGAGAAATTTGAAAGAAATTCACAAGCCTCCAGAGAACAGTTGAAAAATTCTGATTTAGCAGAGGGAGAAAACGTCAGAGCAATCACCAAACCAATTTCACGGCAAGGTCCCGGACTGGCATTCAAGCTTTCGGCGAGCATCGAGAGATGCAGTGGAATGCCAAGCGTGTGGCTTTACGCTGGCAAAGAAAGAGAACAGAATTGGCACGAAAGGGAAATTGGCAGCCCCAAGTTTCCATTTCTTTCCAGGGAGATCGCGGGTGGGTTGGGGGACGAGAACCTAGTTTCTCAGCTCTTGCTGACAGCCTCGTTCACCCCTGCCAGCAGAAGCAATGTTTCCTTTCCCCCTTCCTGACTTTTTCCAGGAAAGGCATAAAAGAAATACACTGGGGGGAAACGCTAGATGCCCGAAAGATGGGAAAAGCCCCGAGTGGCAAAACCAGATCAGAACCACCTTCTCAAAACTTCCAGCGGATTCTGCTCCCTCTTCCAAACAAAAAGGCCACTGAAAACTCACGGCCCCCCATCGCCCTTTCTTTATTCCGAGGAGAAAGAGCTCCCGTTAGTTGCTTTCTAATTCTCAGCCAAACTTTCGCTGGTCAAAGGACGGCAAAGAAATGAAGTCTGTGGAGGTTCTGCAGTGGCATTGAATTGATGCCATGAGCCGGCCCGGGGCCATCGGCTCAGGGACTGGCTTCCGAAGAGCTGGGTCTGCGCACAGGACATGCAGCAGATTGGAGAATTCAGCCAAGCTGGAGGACCCCGGCAAATTCTAAATTGAGAATTTGGCGAATGCCATGTTATTTCCATGATAGCCTAATCCAACCCGCTATTCTTTTCGGCCATCTGCCAAACTTTTGATTCTCAGTTTAGAGCCTGGGCCCTGGTAGGGTAGACAGCTTCTGATCATGGAAGCTCCATTTATTAGTTCTTGGGGAAGGGAAGGGAAGGGAAGGGAAGGGAAGGGAAGGGAAGGGATCAGACATAATATGAGGGCAGGACAGGGCAGCAACATAAGCAACTGTGGGCAGAGCAGTAGCCAGTGAACTTGGCTATCCTGGAAAAATTAAGAGAGTTATCCAGTTTAGTCCTTGGATGGGAGACCACCAGGAGATCCCAGGGCTGAAAAATCCAAAACCATCTTGGAAGGAAGATGGCAATCTGTTTTCGTATCATTGCCAAGAAAGCTATATGGACATTTCTAAATCATCACCCTAAACAGAGTCTGACTGAAGGGAGCCTGTGCCAATGGGGTTCATATCTTGATTGTGGGCTTGACAAAAGCATCAGGGTGGACATCAGGTAGATTTTACTGGAAGATTCTTGACTTAGGATCAAGCAGGCATTTGGTCTGTTCCAGCAGGCCAGTTCTTAAGCAGTTTCCTTCTCTCTCCTTTCAGATGGATCCTCCGGGTTGGCACTGAACGGTTCTGGGTCTGTCCGTATCTCAAGAAGCCACCTGAGGGGGACACTGCCCGGGCTCCATGTTGGCGACAGTTTTCCTCGCACAGTTTTTCTCAGTGGGGAGGAGCCCAAGAGACCATGAACTTCTCAGACACGTCACCAACTCCCAGCGGCAAACTGGAGTCTCCGACTTCTGTCCCCGAAAGCGGTCACCCTCTCTGGGAGGCGGTGCTGATTGTCTTGCTAAGCGGGAGCCTGTCCCTGATCACCGTGGTGGGGAACCTTCTGGTGATGGTGGCTTTCAAGGTCAACCGCGAGCTGAGAACTGTCCACAATTACTTCCTCCTCAGCTTAGCAGGGGCTGACCTGATCATTGGGTCCATCTCCATGAACTTATACACCACCTACATTGTCATGGGGCGATGGGCGATGGGCAACCTGGCCTGTGACTTGTGGCTCTGCCTCGATTACGTGGCCAGCAACGCTTCCGTCATGAACCTCCTGATCATCAGCCTTGACCGTTACTTCTCCGTTACCCGTCCCCTCACTTACCGGGCCAAGCGGACCCCCAGGAAGGCAGCTATCATGATAGGCCTGGCGTGGCTGATTTCCTTTGTCCTGTGGGCTCCGGCCATCTTGTTCTGGCAGAATTTGGTTGGGGAGCGGATGGTTCCTGAAGGGGTGTGCCAAATCCAATTCTTCTCCGAGCCCATCATCACATTTGGAACCGCTATTGCTGCTTTCTACCTCCCCGTTACCATCATGGCAATTCTTTACTGGAAGATCTACAAAGAGACACAGAAGAGAGCCAAGGACCTCCCCGGACTGCAGGGTTTGGGGTTTAGGACTAATCAACCGTTGGGTCTCCCTCCAACTAGCAGCCGTGCAGAGGCAAGTGGCAATTCGAACCCATGCCCGCCTCTTGCCTTGCTTGCAGACGGAGTTGCGTTTCCCCAGCAAGCCTGCTGCTTCCTTGGACGGGGGGCAAAGGGGGCTCCCTTGGACCAGAGCAGCAACAGCAGCTGGAACACGACAGAGGAGGAAGAGGGGGGGAACGTCTCCACTGACTCCCTGACCTCCTCGGAGGGAGAGGAGCAAGCCTTTGATGTTCACGCTATTTGCCCGGCGGCCATCGTCCACCTCCCCATGATCGATGCCGTCATGCATCCGTTGCAGCGGGCGCAGTGTTGCGATGCCCAAGTGAGGGTGGGAAGGGACTGGGTGGCAGGCAAGGTGATGATGGGGACTCCAAAGCAAGCGTTGGCCGGGGACAAGAGGCTCCAGGAGGCGGTGGGGTCACCGTGGACTGAGCAGACACAACTCAAAGCTACGAGACGCATCTTGAGGAGGAAGAGAAGGCACTTGTTTCCCAAGAGGAAACCCTTCTTGGCAGCGAAGGAGAGGAAGGCCGCTCGGATGCTCAGTGCCATCCTCCTGGCATTTATCATCACCTGGACGCCTTACAACATCATGGTGCTGGTGTCCACCTTCTGTGCTGGATGCATCCCGGAGAGTCTCTGGAGGCTCGGCTACTGGCTGTGTTACGTCAACAGCACCATCAACCCGATGTGCTACGCCTTGTGCAACCGGTCTTTCCGCACCACCTTCCGACAGCTGCTGCAGGGTCGCTGGTGGCACGGCGCCAGCGGAAGCCGAGGAGAACGGTAGATCGTGTGGCAAGATCGGGACGATCCCAAAACACGGCTGGCAAGCAGAGAGCCACCGAGGGTGATAGAGCTGGTAGAGCCGGATTCCAGCAGATGGACGGCCGATCGGTTTATTATTTTTTTTAGCTTATGAAATAAAACCAGCTTTCGGAGCACCCTGCCAGCATTCATGGTCAAAACCCCTGGAGGTTTCGTTTCCAGGGGTTTTTTTTCCTTTGAGAAACAAAATGAAGGTAAAACCCCAACTCCGGCTGGAGCAAATCAAAGTCGGTGAAGGCGCCAGCCCTAAATCCTGAGTCAAATCAACTCCTCTGAAACGTGGAGGAAGACTATTCCCGAACGTGGCAGTTTCCTGTATTGTTTGTGGCGAACAGCCGTGTTGCAGGGCAGCTGGTGGATTTTGCGTCTGCTTTGCTCCTGTTTCCTGTATCACAGAACAGCCATCTTGATTGTTTAACCATGGCACTGGTAAGCCAAATTTCTGAAACGTTACATTGGAGATTTTAAAAAATATATGTATTTTAAGAAATCTAAAATAATACTTCTTCCAAAAAAAAAACACCACCACCCAAAAAGATCATGGGCCGGGGGAACAAGTGTGAATCTGCTGAACACAGCAGCCTGGCTTTTAGAGCAGTGCTTCTCAAACTTGGCCACTTGAAGATGTGTGGACTTCAACTCCCAGAATTCCCCAGCCAGCATGGCTGGCTGGGGGATTTTTGGGGGGGGAGGTCCAAACTCTTTCAAG